CCCCAAAACCCCAAAACCCCAAAACCCCGTAGTATAAATAAAAATTGGAAATAGAAATTATAATTAATAATTAAAAATGAATCAAAGTTTAGTATTAAATATAAGGGTACAATGATATAGATCTTTACCTCTATTAAGTTAGAGACTCTGCTTTACAAATAATTTGAGGCATTGAGACTTGCATTCGCTTATAGGGAGTATTTCTCTATAAATTGGAGCTTAATTGGGGTTTCCCTTTATGGGGAGGATCATTATTGTTAGCCCGAAATAAACGCAAGACATAGTGCTTCAAGGGGTTAATCACTCTTGACAGTCTCCTTTTCCTTGCCACACAAAAATGTTTATTCTTATCTCTAAATTGGGTCTTCAGGTCCTATTTCATTTAAGTCAATTTACATCGTCGATTCTTCAATCTCACATTCATTCAATATAATCAATTAAGATATTTGTCTCTGCTCACTTTAAGGCTGAGTAGTATTACTATTTTAATTTGCCAATAAAAGTTATTATTTTTCAGTGAGTACTGTTTTGCTTGATCTTTTTGCCTTAGGCATTAAAAATTCTTCCTCTTAATTATATTAAGTCTTGCTATCTGGAATATTATTAGAAAAGTTCTCCTTTTGCATTGATCTTTGCTAAACCAAATATTCCTAATCTTAGATGTAATTATCTCCTTAAAACTTGTTATAGTAGTATTACAAATCAACTATTATTATTGTGATGTTGTCTGGACAGCCATCTTCCACAGCTCTCTGACTAAGAATATTGGTAATTTTACCCATAGACCAACCTAATCTTCTTAATTCAATCACGTACTAAGCAATTTTCTGCTTGCCATAGGTTCTATAAAGGCCATCTGAGGATAGTATAAGATATTAATCAGATGGACTAAGACTTATTGTGCTAATTTCAGGCTCAGGTATTATCAAATCTTTGTAGTTAATATCTCCAATTGATCTAGTAACAGCTAATACACCCTAGACTCTTAGAGTCTAGCCTACAGGTACAATGTAACCACCTCTTTCCTATATTCTTTGATACTCATCTATTCTCAATGGAGTTTGTTCACTTGTGAGTTCGAGCATCCTATCGCTTCTGATTATTATTGCAGAGGAATCTCCCACATTTGATACAGTAAGTTTGTTATCAATTATTAAGGCTATAATTGTTAAAGATTATTCGGATAGTGGATTACCTTGAAGACTTGTAGTTCCATCGCTCAAATTTTACTAAGATGCCAAATTAAGAAAATTTTAATCAAGATGATACGACACTAAAATATTAAACGTTACAATGTAACTTACCTTCTCGAAGAGTTTAACAAATATCTCTATCCAGATTCTTGTTCATTTTCAAATAAGAACTTAAGTTAGCCTGGCAATACTCAGCTGCTCTTTAACCAGAGTGCCCATCGAAAATGGCAAAGAGAGCACTTGAGGACTTGCCTTTGAAATTTTCTTCAACCAAAAACTAAATTATTATCAATAAAAATGGTTGTTTAAAATTATTATGCTACAGTTCATAAGCTAAAGCTCAACTGTTTGCATTACTATTATTTGACTAGATCGATACTTACCCTATCCTCCTAGGTCTGTCTAAAATTTCCTTTTTTTAGGCTGACTCCATAGCTGATTTTATCAACATTACAATCCAACAAGCTAATTTGTTGAGGTATGTTAGACTTCGAAAGAGCATTTCTAGTGCTGAGTGGAATGCTGAAAGTTTCAGAAATTTTCATTTGACTTTCGCTCAAGTCAATTGATAGATCCTAATCCAAATTCGCATTCATTTGCTTGCTAAAAGATTTCTATATCCTTCATTTTATCTCTGGCTGTCTCAATTGATGAGATTACTAAATGGTCTAGTGAGGATATAGATTGCTTGATAATGACATAGAGTTTGTTTAAGAGAAATATATTACGTTTCAACCGTCCACCAATCATATATAGAATTAATCAAGAATCAATTTAGTTAACAAATCATTCGAATTTTTCAATCTGATAAATTGACTAAATTTCTCGATGGGGTTTTGGGGTTTTGGGG